CCATGATAAAATCGAGTGGTTCTCGAACATAGAGGGTGGTTCAGTACTGGAGTCTGGATATGAAAGCGAAGGTATAATTTCTAGATCCGAAAGAGTGGGTCAAGTGATATCGACTATACAGAAGCAGAAGAGATATAGGAACATTCGGTTTCGCGATTCATTCTGGAAGCATCTTTGTTTAGCCTGAACGACCAACTATATTTGCTCCTTCACATTGTGTCGTCTACTAGCGGCAGGCAGACCAACTAGGTATATTTGTCTATGCTTCCTATTGACCTATAGCAAACGCAATTCGTTGCTCAACCATTAATAGCTTTTCCCGTATTCAGCTTTGTTTTTTTCATTTCTGACGTCAGCATTGGCCATGCCTCGCCGCGATGAACTTGCACGAAGAATGCATTTTATTTAAGGTACGACGAATGAGGTATGTACCAAGGTACGCCAGACAAGTGAAAGTCGTGGACGAATCAGAACGTAAATCTAGAGTGTGGGAAGTGATTTATATTCGTTAATTAATAGGTACCGTTTCAATTGAACGGCTGCTGACTTTATCCTACAATCGCCGATTGATTCTTTCATCTTCACGTTCTTTAATTGCTCATTAAAATTCTTGGTAAACTAGACTAACACGAACGAGAAATTTTTGTTAGTAGAATTCTGAAGAAAATAAATCGTTCAATTATTGTCATACGTCAAAGTGAACGAACTTAGAGAGATTTTATTTGTTTAATAAATTTTAGCTTTTCTCAAAACAAACACCATGATATTTAACTTTTTGCATGCTTGATTTCAGCAATTATTTAATCAATAATTAATTAATAACAGCTGTAATGATGCTCATTCATGGACAATTTTAATAAGTAGTTAAAAAATGTAAATTGAAAGATTCATTGCTCTTCATCTTCTTTACTAAAATTTCGAGCTGTTTTTTTCAACATGTTTGTTCTGAATAATATATTCGTGAATTTAATATAACGTTATACATTTTCGTCAATTCATTCATTGTTATGCATAACAACGATTGCGATCTATGACGCGAGGCTTATGCGTTTTATAGCGTTTCATTTACGAGGTCATACGCCTCTCCACCTTCATTGACGCGATCCTCGACCATTACCTTCCTCCAGTTTACGTGTACGCGCAGTCTCACCTGGAAGACCTGCACGCCTCGTGATAGATCTCTGACCTATACAGCTGATCAATGACACCTACGTTACCTACATTTCTCACGTCGATCAATAATCGCATCAATAAACACCCGAGCTATAGAATTTCCTTATCTTTAAGGATTTTTTCCCCGAGCGATAAGCTTCTACAAACGAGTAAATGGAGAAATTATAAAAATAAGTATTTACTTGAAAAAATTCATTTTTAATATCTAATGTATTAATCTTTCACTGTGAACTTTTTACATTCTTCCAATTCCTCCTTCTGTTTCAGAAATCGTTCAGCCATCGAGAAACAGTTCTATCAATTACACTTACAGTACTTAGCGAGATATCTCTTCCTAAAATCCACTGACCAAACCAGTGTACCAGCTGTCACACAGTTACGATTTTTTTAATAAAATTGAATCTATTCATTCGCACTGACCCGAGCGAAGTGGGAACTCGATTCGATGGTGCTTGCTGCGTTTCCGCCCACCTAGATTTTCTTTGGCTCGTGTAATTAGCCGAACTAGCCTAACTTACCTGTAATCATATGGTAAGATACCTGTCCAGAGAGAGAGAGTGGTGCCCGTTCAGCTGGATTTCACGTTGATACGCGTGAACCACGGGAAGAGAGAAAAAGAGAGAGAGAGAGAGAGCTCATGTCTGTCGCGGTATTTTAGGCGCAGACTCGCGGTTCTTCACCGAGTCCACGCCCCCGACTTCGATCCCGTCAGGGGTTTGAGAGAGGAGTGTGGACACGGAGAGGGAAGTAGTGGTGGGCGGATAACAGAGAGGCACGAATTAGAAGGGTGAGAGCGAGCGAGATGCGAGTACAGCGAGAGGGTAGCACGCACCCCCCGTGAGTCTGTATGACGTCACGAGGGTCGAATCAATATCACGGAACCATTTCCTCCGCTGCCGGTCCTTGACTACGAGAAAGATACCGACCGTTCAGTACGGGGTGGCCTCCACGACCGTTAAGGACACCGAGAGCGCGTCGTTCCGACGAGAACGACCAC